TACAACGAAAGGAGTGATTATTTTATTATTTATATTTAAAAGTAATCTTGTAAAAATCTTAAAAGAATCACAACTCTAAACTTTTATACAAAAATCAGACATATCTACCTTAAGTCTTCAGATTGCACATCATCAGCAAATCTTAATAAATCATTTCAGGAAGCTGAGGGGAAAGATGAGTGTAAGAAACCAATCATCACCAGTCCAGCCTCAGTGAGAGTCAATCAGGGCTGCCATTGTTCTTGTGGTGATTGGATCATTAATCTGCTCCAGTATTGTGAGTGCCAGAGATACTGTCCAGCAAGGGACTGGAAGATCCCTTAGAGTTTTCATATAACTCTAGAGGGATGTGAGGGCAGCTAGCACAGCAGAACTCCATAACAGCATGAAGTCCTCTGGACACAGTCCTTGGGGCTGTGACACACCGAGGCTCACTCATGTGGCTGTGGTGACCTGTGGGCTGCATCCATGAGTTCTAAAGCCACTTGTCATTCTTTCTGCATGGCCCTAGGTAAATCCTTATGTATAAATTTGTACGGTTTTGCTAAGGGGAATATCATCTGCCCAATGTCTCATTAGTATTGAACTTTTGTATAGATAAATCCAGTCAATATTTTATCTTCTGTCCTTGCACCTAAAATAAACTGCTCTTTCCCTTTTATGACCTTTAGTTATCAGGTAATGGATTTACAGCCTAAAAGGAATATTTTTCTTGATGGTAAATCTATTTCATGTCTGCTTTCTGTTCTAGTTCAAATAGTTCGTGACTCACGAAGGATTACAGAGTCCTAATGGGAGTCTTACTAAAGATGGCTCAAAATCATTTGTATAAATGTAGGAATTCTATAGAATCACTATTAGAACTTGTGAAATCACCCATTTGTCTACATAGTATCAATACAAAATAGTACATCTTTGATGATCTGCAGAAAATATGCCCAGTAGGGTGAGCTAATATGCAGAGAGTATTATACTAATTTAACAATGACAGGAAAGACATATCCAAGGTAAGAATCAATCCTGAGATAAAGTTTCTTTTGGGCCTTGTCTCTTAGGGCTAGCTCACCCATCCCAGACCATGCAAAAATGGTGGGCCACCTTCAGGAAATTCACCTACTAGCTTTTAGCCTGTCCTTGATGGCTCTTGACAGTCTTAGGGTTATTATTGCTGCAGTGAAACACCACAACCAAAAAGCAAGTTGGGGAGGAAAGAATTCATTTGGCTTACATTTCCATATTTCTGTTTATCACCAAAGAAGTCAGGACAGGAACTCACACAGGGCAGGATCCTGGAAGCAGAGGCAGATGCAGAAGCCATGGAGAGATTCTTTCTTATAAAACCAGGATTACCAGCCCAGGGATGGCACCATCCACGACGGGCTGACTCTGCCCCCATTGATTGCTAACTGAGAAAATGCCTTACAGCTGCGTCTCATGGAGGTATTTTTTTTTCTTCTGAAGTTCCTTCCTGTCTGATGACTCTAGCTTGTGTCGAGTTGACATACAAAACAAGCCAGAACTACTCACCCCTTGTCAACTTGACACACAAACATATCACTACTAAGTTACAATCCTTCCTTTCTTACTCATCCTGTCTAGGAGCTTGCTTTGCCTTGAGTCTAGTTATAGGTCTATAGGTGACCCTTGACGGACATCAGATTTGTCTTGGCTGATATTTCCTTCAGAGAAAAATCAGACAATGAAGGATTCATTTTCTCAGGTGTAAAAGCCAATATTTCAAGCAGCGGGCCTGAGGGTACTACTTCCTCAGGTAAGGTAAACACTTGAAATTCTGAGGATTCAGCTTCAACAGGATCCTCCCACACATCCCCACCACAGGCTATAGGATCCCATCCTTTGCCAGTTAATGACTTTACTTTAACTGCTGTCCCCTGTGAGACAGAGACTCGAATTTTTGCTGTAATCCAGGAAACCTTATAATGAGAGCTTTAGTGTAATTTTCTGCCACTCGAGCGCTAAGGCTGCTGGAGAGACGATCCTCTTCAAGGGCACACTTAGAAACCTGTAGATTGTTTATTTGCATCTGGAGCTCATGGAGATCATTCCTACCCTTTATCAATGTACCCAGAGATACTAAGAGCAACTAACGAGCAAAGGTATTTTCCTTATTTTCCCCCAAACTGTAGACAGTTTAGTATAGCTGGTCACTAAATCCATTACCACACATAACTGATGGATCAAGATACTCAAAGGCATTTACCTCTTTAAGTTTGAAGTGCAGTTTCCACCATGAGCTTTCAATGCTCTGCGAGCTCCCGGGAGAGAGACAATTACCAAAATTAATATACAGAATTAATGTAATCCCTATGAAAATGGCCATGTCACATTTTACAGGCTTAGAAAAAAAAAAACCCACATGGAACAAAAAGGAACCAAAGCAATTGTAATGAGTAAGAAAAATGCTGGGGTCATCACCTGAACAAAAGTTGTACTATAGAGCTTTACCGATAGTGACAACCTAGTGTTGACATAAAAAAAAGGCATGTAGACAATCCAATAGAATAGAATAGAGGAGCTAGAAATAAAAAGGCAAAGCTATGCCCACCTAATTTTTGACAATTTGGGAAAAACATACTTTGGAAAAAGCCTGTTCAACGGTGCTGGCAAAGCTGGATTTCTAACTTAGAAGAATGAAACTGATTTTATATCTTTGATATTGGGCAAAACTCAGTGCGAAATAGATCAAAGCTCTGAAACATTTAAACTTTTAGAAGAATTCACAGGAGAGGCCCTTGAAGATATTGTAGTACGAAAATGTTTTTAATAGAACACAGACAGGACAGGAACCAAGGTCAAGTTTCAACAGATAGAACACCGTGAAAATAAAAAGTTTCTCTACTGTAAAGCAAACAATCAGAACAGCAAAAAGACAGCCAACAAAATGGGATTAAATCTATGCCAGCTACATATCAGACTGGAGTCTATGTCCAGGATTTACAAAGAATTCAGAAATTGAACGTTAGGAAAATAAAGCTGCCAAGCAGCAAATAAATTGAATCAATCGTTTTAAAAACAAAGAAAAATAACCAGTAGTTTTCAAAACAAAAGCAAATGGCCAGTAACTATTTTTAAGTGCTCAATAATCCAAGACATCAGGGATATACAAATTAAAACTACTTTGAGATACCTCAGATGGATGAAAACCCATCAACAAATGTTGGGAGCCGCGTACGCCATTCGACAATGGCGCGGCTCCGTGTGGGAGCCGCATACGCCAATTGTCAATGGCGCGGCTCCGTCAAGAAGCCGCATTCAAAGGCGCGGCTCCGTGAGGGAGCCGCACTCAATGGCACGGCTCAGTCAGGGAGCCGTGAGGTAAAGTGCGCCTGACTAAGGCGCACTGGTTCCCTGCCTCTCGGCCCCCGTGAGGGAGCCGTGAGGTAAAGTGCGCCAGAGTAAGGCGCGCCGGCTCCCTGCTTCTCGGCTCTGACAGAGCCATGAATGGGAGCGCGCATGCGCAGGGGACGCCGGCCCGCGCTCTGGCTTCAGTCAGAGCCAAGCCAAGTATGCGCATGCGCAAAGAGTAGGAATTACTATGCTAATTAAGCCTCACTCCAAGAACACTCTAAAAGCCAATGAGAAACGAGTATGCTAATTAGGAATCATTAAAGAGCCAATGAGCATGCAGTAAGTGCTCCCAGGACTCTATATAAGCCCATGGGTTCTGGGGCTCTGGGTCCTTCGCCATTACCATTTACGAGAGCTGTAACACCATCTAAGAGCTGTAACACCATCTAAGAGCTGTAACGTCGTCTGAAATTGCTGTAAACAGTAAATTGCTGTCAGAAGAATCCTGAAGTGTGGCGTTTGGCGAGGCGGCGCATCACAAACGTTAGCAAGGATGTGGAAGGAGTTCACTGTTAGTGGGGTATACAAATCAATACAGCCACTGTAGAAGTCAGTTTAGAGATTGCTCAAAATAGAAATTCCATATGGCAAAGCTATTTTATACCTGTGTATGTACTCAAAGAACTCCATACATACCATAGAGATATTTTACCTCAATGTTAATTACTGCTTTATTCACAGTAACAAAGAATTGAAATCAACCTAGTTGCTGATCTACAGAGAAATGGATAATGAAAAATTTGTAAACAAACTTAAATACTACACAGCTCTAAAGAAAAATGAAGCCATTAAAACGTGCAGGAAAATACATGGACTTAGAATGCGTATTAAAAAAAAACACAATCTCAAAAAAAAACCCACATGCTCTCTCATATGTGGAATGTACCCAATGTAAATATGTAAAGGAGGTAGCTATGGGTACAACATAACATGAAGAAAATTGCAGAACAGACTAAATGCAAGCATTGGACAAATTCTTTCTATTGATATTTCTGTCGACATGTTAAACATCCTTTTGTTTTGAATGCATATTCTAACAGTGTATCTTCGTGAACTGTAGACTCTTGGTCGTTTTATGTGATCTTAATTAGTTTATTTTTGGTTTATGAAAACTCAATTCAAGAATTCACCCCCAAGTGACATCCAATTTCATTTAGAATTTTATTGCATCCGAGGTAGCAATGTAGTTTACAAGAGCAACCTCGTTCCAGATAACCTAATCTACAAATCCCGAATGTAATTAAAGTGCTCTGTTGCAAGATATGAAATGCCTTGACAGGGTAGGGAAGCAGCATCTCAGAGGGCAGGATTTGGGGGGAATAAAATGAAATTGGGAAAGGGGGAGATGACTACAGTAATGTCAATAAAAATGTCTAAAAACTCCTAGAATAACCTTGAGAACATCTGAATACAGTGAACTAACACCAGTTGACCAAGTCTGTACAGCTTTCCTAATACTGACTCACATGCAAATTAAGCGCATATGTACACTCATTCTGATTGGACAACTTGTTACTAGTAAGAGAAATAATAAACTATCTGGGTAACATTTGAAAAAGCGTTTTAGCTCCTTCTTAAAGAATGTAGTGGTCCTGAAAAGGACCTTTGGAAAATATTCAACTGAGGTTGAACTTAGCCGCCGAAGCCATAGAGCGTGCGGCCCTGGCGCTTGAGCGCGTAGACCACGTCCATGGCGGTGACGGTCTTGCGCTTGGCGTGCTCCGTGTAGGTGACGGCGTCGCGGATCACGTTCTCCAGGAACACCTTCAGCACACCGCGGGTCTCCTCGTAGATGAGGCCGGAGATGCGCTTCACTCCTCCGCGCCGGGCCAGGCGGCGGATGGCGGGCTTGGTGATGCCCTGGATGTTGTCGCGGAGGACCTTGCGGTGGCGCTTGGCGCCGCCTTTGCCAAGGCCTTTACCGCCCTTGCCGCGTCCAGACATGACTACACTCTGAGAAGCTGAGAGCAGATATGCTGGCACTGAGCCTCAGCGCAGCCTTTTATAGTGCCTGGGGCGGACCGAAATGAGAACCTGCAGAGAGGAGGCGGGAAGTTGTGCCCGTCGCCGTGGGGGAGGGGAAGACTTAAAAAAAAAAAAAAAGGCGCCTCTTGTTTCCCTGTCTGTGCTTTCTAACTCCTCACCCTGTTTTAAGAGTTGAGAATCGAGCGCTCAACCAATGCACTGACATTGTACAGACTACAAAAAGCCATGCGGCTGCCTAACAACCTGTCATCCCGTTCAGAGAGGACACTGCAGGAGGCTGCTAAGGTGGTTTGGTAGTCACTGCACACGTTCTAACATGTAATCGGTGCTGTGAATTGTCTTGTTTATTTTCTACAGTGATTAAATTTCAAGTAACTTCCATTACTTAAAACTTTCAAAAGGCCATCTTAATAACTGTACTGTTCTCTTGAGAATTTTTCACAAAAGCATCTATCTGTGAATTATTCATCTGCATCGCTTGGATAATCCTTTTGAGTTTAAAGTCATTTTTCACATTTAAGTGAATTTTTCTTCTCAAATATTTTCTATTTAATCGACTTTCACCAATATTTTCAAGAAAATATCCAAGTGTGTTTGTGAAGTTTAAACAAAATTTTTGAGGCGGTGGGTTCATCTGTGACTGCTACGCACAATACTCTCTGTACAGTACAAGTAAAATGAAAAACACATTTTTATGAAATATTCTGAAAAATTTTCCCCACAACTTCTAAACTAAGATCTGTCAAGAAAATTCATGGAAAGAAGTTATATCTGCAATGACAGGTTGATTGACAAGAACTACATGTATTTAACAGTGAAACTGGAATGTCGTAAGTCCTGAGGCTGGTTGTCTTTTCTTTGGTTACCCTTTATGCTCCTGAATGTGCTTCTCTATGTCTATCACTTTGTGACTAATAGATAAAAAACAATTGTAACCGAAACATAGCAGACCAGTAGTTTCCACCAACCGAAACGGCAAGAATGTCATCTAATAGTATCTGAGACCTATAGAAAAGATTCTCCCACATTGCTGTAAATGTGTCTCTAATGTGTCCGCCAACATGTTTAAACCTATCTTTACTTATGACTTTGCTTTATAACTTCATAAAACTTCTTCCACGTTGGAGCATGAAATTTGGAAATACCTCTAGTATATAGTGTTTCTTATTCCCTTTCAGGTGAGAGATGTGTGGATTTGTTTTGTTTTTGTTTTTCTGTCTGTCTTTCTGTCTCTGTCTGTCTCTGTCTCTCTGTCTCTCTGTTTCTCTATCTGGTTCTGTCTATCTATCTATCTCTCTCTCTCCCTCCCTCCCTCACTCCTCCCCTCCTTCCCTCCCTCTCTCTCTCTTTCTCTCTCCCTCCCTCTCTCTGTGGTTGTGTGTGTGTGTGTGTGTGTGTGTGTGTGTGTTTTCAACTATGCAGGGGTGATGACCAAAAGTCAAAGGACAAACCACGAAGAGTATTAGGGCTGTATCAGAGAAAGCGAGGAAGCATGGTAAGAAACTGTTGTCTCAGCTCAGTAGAGAAAACAAGGACTATGCTGAAGACTGACTTTGGGAAGAGTGTGAATCCCAGAAGAAAGTAAACTGCTATTTTAGGAATCCAAATAAAACGATGAGTTTGGCTTTTCCATAGGTGTTCTGGAGGTACGCCCATGTTTCTGCTTTCTCTGAAGAAGACAAAGTCTCATGAGAAAAAGAAAATCAACAATAAAAAGTGACAGAAGAATAGTTTCTTATTCCTCTGAGTTTCAGATTTGTCATTTGAATACTGTCAAACATGAAGATTTGATTATAGAATACCAAACAGGCTCGAAGACCCAACAGGATATATAAGGTTTTTGATTGGTGATCTGATGATGTCTTCATTCAAGTTCCACATGAACAAGACTGAGGTGTGTTTTGTTCAGTCCATGTAACCGGAGTTTGGCCCAGGACATAATAGGCACTGGGTACTCAACCTGTGAGATGACAGGGAGACTAAGACCTTCAATTCGAGCTTCTCTCTGCCCTTTATTTCATTTTTTCAATTTATTTGTAAATTAAGTGTCTCTGTGCTGGTGCCCGGGATGCCAGAATGGTATGTGTGACACACACCCCTAAACCCAAAGCTGATGTTAGCTAGGAATTAAGCTATAAACCTCTTGCAGGATCAGCAGTTGTTCTTAACAACTCAGCCACTTCTTCATCCTCCTAAATGACTTTTTCGAAGTAATTTCTATCTATATATACTGCAAATTGTTTTCAGATAATATATAACTCTAGTTAAACCTTCCTGGAGTTGCTTTCTGCTAATTCTTCTACTGACTCAGGATAAATAGAAATATACTGAATTGTGTGTCTTCTCCATTACTTTTTAAAGTCTGTTGGCAGCAGAGATCTTTTTTAAACTTTTTAACCTAAGCCTCCCTGTGCCACCAGTCAGTTTTTACATATATGTTCCATGGTCTTTACGAAAACATTCATCTGCAATGTAAAACAGGCAAAGTTGAAAGAGTGTAAAACTGAACACATGCCTAAAGTTTAAAGAAATAGCATGTTTAAGTCATCCTATAAATGCTGAGGGGGACAAAGGAACAATCCTTTCAGGCAATTTGCTATCCCTCCCACAATGCTATACAGTAAAATACACAACAATCTTTGATACAAGCAAACTTCAAAGCTTGAAACATTATGTCTGATAGTATTTACTGGTTAGTAAATTAAAATCTCGCACTAGTTTGTATAAATGGCTAACATCAGTTGTTTGAAGGCATTAATCAAACCAGGGCTGGATTCACTCCACCCACATAACTAAGTAGCACAGCTTCTCCCAGTGGTTTTGTAGGTGGCTCTGAAAAGAGCCTTTGGAGGTTTCCAACAGTGCTTTGTGCAAAGGGTCTCACTTTCCTTTAGCCTTGTGGTGGCTCTCGGTCTTCTTGGGCAGCAGCACGGCCTGGATGTTGGGCAGGACGCCGCCCTGCGCGATGGTGACGCGGCCCAGCAGCTTGTTGAGCTCCTCGTCGTTGCGGATGGCCAGCTGCAGGTGGCGCGGGATGATGCGCGTCTTCTTGTTGTCGCGGGCCGCGTTGCCAGCCAGCTCCAGGATCTCGGCCGTCAGGTACTCCAGCACGGCCGCCAGGTACACCGGGGCGCCGGCGCCCACTCGCTCCGAGTAGTTGCCCTTGCGGAGCAGCCTGTGCACGCGGCCCACGGGGAACTGCAGGCCGGCCCTGGAGGAGCGGGTCTTGGCCTTGGCGCGAGCCTTGCCGCCCTGTTTGCCGCGTCCAGACATGATACAACACTACCAGTTAAAGTCAGTTTAGTGAAGGAGGCCGCACCTACGCTCGTATTATTTATAGTCACTGCAAGGAGTGAAAAGGTAGCAATTTCATTGGTTACATAGAACCATTTCACTTAGACCAATAAAACAGTTGCTTTGGAAAAACCCTTGCTATGATTGGATACTTAGTGGATGACGATTGCTAACGCGCGATACCATAGTCACAAGTTTGTTTAAAAGGCAGCCTGTGCAGAGACATTACAGTTGTTCGGTTTCTCCTCTGTTTAGGCTAGTTTTCTATCCTCGCCATGCCTGAGCCCGCGAAGTCCGCTCCTGCCCCGAAGAAGGGCTCCAAGAAGGCCGTGACCAAGGCCCAGAAGAAGGACGGCAAGAAGCGCAAGCGCAGCCGCAAGGAGAGCTACTCGGTGTACGTGTACAAGGTGCTGAAGCAAGTGCACCCCGACACCGGCATCTCCTCCAAGGCCATGGGCATCATGAACTCGTTCGTCAACGACATCTTCGAGCGCATCGCGAGCGAGGCGTCGCGCCTGGCGCATTACAACAAGCGCTCGACCATCACGTCCCGGGAGATCCAGACGGCCGTGCGCCTGCTGCTGCCCGGGGAGCTGGCCAAGCACGCCGTGTCCGAGGGCACCAAGGCCGTCACCAAGTACACCAGCTCCAAGTGACCAAGCAGATTTCTCTCCTAACCCAAAGGCTCTTTTCAGAGCCACTCACCTTACTGGAAGAACGTGGCACTTTGTGTGATTTGCTTAGAAAGGTAAAGACTAAAGGAATGAATCAATTCAATAGGGTCGGTGAAATTCATGACTAAAAGAAACAGTCCCCTTCCACTATAAATTTACTCGTCTCTGGAAAAATGTGTATAGACGACACCTGTTAACTGCTTTTGAGTACAGTGTTAACGTAAGCAGATCTTTTTCCTTTGGATTAATTTATCAAAAGTAAAAGATGTTTATGTGATAGTAGTGGCTTCATTAGCCAATCACTGCGCTGCGCGGGCAATTTCAAAATTAAGCGCCAGAGATTTTTCTTTTCTTTCTTTCTTTCTTTCTTTTCTTTTTTTTTGGATTTTTTGGTTTTTCGGGACAGGGTTTCTCTGTGTAGCCCTGGCTGTCCTGGAACTCACTCTGTAGACCAGGCTGGCCTCGAACTCAGAAATCCTCCTGCCTCTGCCTCCCAAGTGCTGGGATTAAAGGCGTGCACCACCACTGCCCAGCTGAGCTTATAGTCTTAAATTAATCAAATGGATTTAACTTACCCAAAGGCACCAGTAATAAATACCTGCCAATAATTTATCACCAAATAGTTCATACAATGGTTGTGCAAATATAATATCAGACTATAATTTAATATTTCCTGATTCAGGCTACCATAAATTAATAAATGTTTTATAACCTTATCCCAAGGGAAATAAGGTCTTGTTCCAATGCACAGGAGAAACAAAATTGAGCCACATCGAAATCACATCTTAGTGACAATTGTCATTGTAAACTAAAAATTTGGTCACCTAACATAATCACAGCTGACTCTAAGTCAGTGATTTCAGCATGCAGTACGCTATCTCTATGTCTTTGCATGTTTCAGAAGTTTCCTGAGTCAGGATAAAGTCTTAGAATATACAGTCCCTTTGAATGCTTTGATGTAGGGCTATCCCAGCAGTGGAGGCAGTGGTGGTGATGGCAGTCATTCCCAACACGATGACAATAGTCAGTCCTTTTCTTCATTGGATTCAATATGATAAAGCATAGACGTGGAAGGAGATTCTAGCCAAGTTCTGTCCATCCGTACATGCATCCAAACACCAATCTAAGCTCAAAGTACACAAATCCCCTGGGAGTTCAAATTAACAATAGTTCTAGCATCTAAACGTTTATAAAGACCAACTGAAACAAAACACACATTTTTCAAACTGATTCCAAGTAGATCTTCCAGTCATGAACAGATAAGGAAGAGGAGCACATGCCATGCTAAGATAATTTTTTTTTTTTTTGTAGAAGAGAACATAGTCTCATTGTTAATAGTATTTTTCTAACATTTACTTTTCTAGGCTCAAAAGTTATACAATGCCAATAATAATTTCCAAAGATGTTCTTGAGTAGCTCTTCCCTCCATATGAACAGAGGGAGAGGATAGATATCCCACCCCCATGTCATAGTATCCCCTCAGACCCATTACTATGGATGGATGGTGTTATTATTATTACAGAACTATCTTAACTCTTTGCCTTTCTGTTTGGTGTGAGCAAAACCTACAGGGCTTCGATCTATGAAACTGACATAACAACTCGCACCTCTGGTCCTCATTTGTTCCCAATGTATCCATACACTTAACTCTGAAACAGACAACAGGAGTGTGTTACGGACGAAAAGGAGGTGGAATCAAAGATAGTACATAATGTTTTCTTTAAACCCTTCAGCTACTAAAATGAACAACTTCCTCTTCCTTTCAGTTTTTCTTCCATTTCAAATAATAGATAACCATCCCAGATATATTTTTCAAACAATGCTCCTCATGTCCAATACAAATATGAAGTATTTCCATCCCTATTTCATATGACAAATTCAAATTTAAATCCTCTCCACTGGAAAATAAAGACCCTCTACTGTCATAGGGTCCTGGAATCCAATTAGAGGCATTAGTGTGGATGGCCTTGCTGGAGGGCCTTCCTCAACACAGAGAGGAGAGCTTTATTTCATCCCAGATTACAAACCATCTTTTTTCCTGCATTGGCTAATTTTTCCATCTGCCCCCAGGTAGGAAACATACAATCCACTATGGAAGGTAGTGGTTTCAAAACTGTATTAGATGTCTGAGCCTAAGTCAGATAAGCCATTTGTTGAGAAGGCAAGTCAGAGACAAACTGGTCACATGAGGATTTCTCAGTTTCATTAGCCTTTCTAGAAACCAATGATCACCTGAATCTGTGAAAACATAAACATACACTTTCCCCATTTTATAACATTTATTTTTTCCATTTCTAAGAGTCTTCCTCATTATACTAAATAGATTGTAATATATTACTCTCAACATTTTCTCTAGTAACAGCTGAATTTTAGAGAACATGGGATCATCATTTTTACAATTCAAAAGTTTTAAAGTAAATACCAAATCTAATATGTTTCTAAAATTAAGGGCCATCTTTCCCCTTTTGTTTAACACCTCCTTTAATGTTCTATTAGAAGTTTCAATGCTGGCCTATCCTTGAGAGTCCTAAGGGATACTCATAGTATGTTTAATATTTCAACGAAGTAAAAGTTCTTTAAGGTTCTGTGACCATTCACCATCTTATTTTGTTGAGGAATACTCATAACATTAAAAGCTTTTTAAAAATGTAATATAACTGTTAAAGCCTTTTCATTACTTAATGCATTGAAATCCTGAAAATGTATCTATAGAATTATGTAAATATTGCAACTTCAAAAGTAGTAATGTAGATTATATCCAGTTGCTATATCTCATTTGATATATTACCTCTGGGATTACTACCAGAAGCCAAGCAAGGCCTATGAAATGTTTGACAAGTTTCACAATTTAAAGTTATTACTTTTACCATTCCTTGAGTTACAGGAAATTTTCTTTGTAACCTTCCCAGTTAATACGTGTATCTGCTTGAAACTTAGTAGCTTCAGGGAAAAAAAGTACAAGAACATAATTGATATATATTGATTAAAGAATCTGAGAATTGGCCGGGCAGTGGTGGCCCACACCTTTAATGCCAGCACTTGGGAGGCAGAGGCAGGCGGATTTCTGAGTCTGAGAGTTCGAAGCCAGCCTGGTCTATAGAGTGAGTTCCAGGACAGCCAGGACTACACAGAGAAACCCTGTCTCAGAAAAAAAAAAAAAAAAAGAGTTGATTAGCATTGACCAAAGAGCCAAGGAGACTGGTGTATGCTCTGATATGCAAAATAAAATGTATATTAATGTGATGAATTAGTAGTTGACAACTGTGAAAATGAAAGAAATGTTTCTATATCATCATGATAAAGAAAAAGAGTATGAACATGTTGAACAGTATATGCTGCATATTGTGAGTCTGTAGTTATGCTTAAGGGAAAAATCTGACAAGATTGAAATAATAGCTGGAAACTTGGCCTTTTGCACAGATAAGTATGGGGTTTGTAATACTTTAGAAATCTCTCTTTTTTTTTCATAAGAATATCCAGTAATTCTAAATGTATTAGCATCAGTATATACAGTGCTCAATCAAAAGGTTCATGCTTAATGATAGGACCAATAATAACATATGTTAATTTTAAAAACTAAATACACTTCTGTTTGAATATTGGTTATTCCCCGGGTCTGGCATGGCCTTGGTGAGGACAGAATGACACAGTTCCTGCCCCTGTAACAGGGACAATGGACGTGGACCTCCAAGAGTGTCGCTGGCTGTCATGGACATAAAGCTTGTTTGTATAATAATTTACATATTTTCACATTCCTCCGATGTCCTCTCTGTTCACGTCAATGAGTCCAGGAGGCAAAGGTGTGGCTAATGTCTTTGCAAAATGGTAGACACTGGGACCTTCATGACGGCCTTTAAGGCTGTAGAAAAGAACTCTAAAAAACACGAATTCTAAAATGTATAATTTCTCAACTATACAAAAATATAAGGATGCAATATTGATTGTATAAGGAGCTCCACAGATCTTTTTTTTTTTTTTTTTTTTTTTTTTTTTTTTTTTTTTTGGTTTTTCGAGACAGGGTTTCTCTGTATAGCCCTGGCTGTCCTGGAACTCACTCTGTAGACCAGGCTGGCCTCGAACTCAGAAATCCGCCTGCCTCTGCCTCCCAAGTGCTGGGATTAAAGGCGTGCGCCACCACCGCCCGGCCCGAGCTCCACAGATCTTAAGGAGCAAAGGCCACTACACTATGAGCCAGCTTGTCAGAAAGAAACAAAGGTAGGCAGATTCCTGAGTTCAAGGTCAGCCTGAGACACAACGAAGTTAGGCCCAGGTATGGTAGAAATGGTAATTTCAGGAAGGGATCCCACAATGCTAGCTTAGCATCTGTGTTTAACAGTGGCAGGCAGATCTCTGAATTCTTTTGCAATGTTAAGAG